GCCCGGGACCCCGGGGGCGCCGCCCTTACCTTCGGCAGCCCGTCCATGTCGCCCGAGCCTGCGGAACAGACAGCGGCAGCAACTCCGCGCGTGCCCTGTGCCAACGCCCGCCCGCGCCGGGGGGCCACCAGGGGGCGCCACTCACCCAGGGATCCGTTCACGGGGTGCGGCTCCATCGCGCTCACCGCGGCCATGGGGCCCTCGGCGCCGGGCCCGAGCGGAAACTGGGGGTACAGGGCGGGCGGGTGAGGCTGCGTCCCCACCGCAGGCTGGGGACCCGCGCCGCGCCCACGCCCGCAGCACTCACGTTAGCCCTGCCGGCGCCCGGCCCGAGGGGGTTCATGAGCGTGAACATGCTCTCGCTGGACGTGGTGGAGTCTGGGGAGACAGTGGCATCAGGCAAGTGCGGGGCTCTGAGGGGTGCGGGCTCCCGTCACCCGCCAGCCGCCAGCCCTACCTCCAGGGCTGGGCATGATGGGCGTGCCGGGGGGCCCACCACCTCCTGGAGGTCCCTGTGGGCAGAGAGGAGGGGGATGAGCGGCCAGCCGGCACCCCGGGGCCCTGCCCAGCACCCGCACCTCGCCACTCACCGTGTAGCTGACCGGGGACGAGGAGGAGTAGGGGATCTGGGGACAGGCGCAGCTGTGAGCAGGAGGCCAGGGGCGCCGGCCCAGCATCCTGCCCTGTCCCCCACCCCCCCCCCGCCCCTGCCCGGACTCACCGAGTTGCCACTGGGGCTGGCCCAAGGGCCCCGAACTCCCGGAGCCCTGGAAGGAAAGGGGAGCACCTGGAGCAAGGGGACAGGATGCAGACGACCTGGCTCTCCCCACCGAGGGCGGCTGCTGCCTCAGGGGACACCCTGGCTGATTCCGGGTGGATTCAAGTCCCACCCTTCGGGGACAGGGTCCTAGCTGCTTTAATTTACCCACCCCACGTGATAGCAGAATAAACTGCTCGAGAACTCAGGTGCCCGGGCGGGGGCCGGGGGCCGGGGAACAAGGCCTGGGGACCCACTCAAGGCCTTACATGTTCATGGTGGGCAGTCCCGGGCCAGCGAGGGCGTTGGGCGGGGGCCGCATGCCACCTCCGTAGCCCTGTGGAGGCGAAAGCCATGAGAGGTGGCCCCCGGGTGGCTCGTAGGGGACGGCCCGTCCACCCTACCCTCCTGGTGGCCTTACCTGGGGCCCGACACCAGCCATGCCCCGGGGCGGCGTCACCCTCTGCATCGGGCCACCCATGCTCGAGTGCCCTGGGGTGGGCAGAGGACAGGGCTCAGGGGTTGCTCCCCAGGACTCGGGTTCAGAGGGCCCGGACGGGGTGTGGGGAGCACCCTACTCACCCTGCATGCGAGCGGAGGGGTCCACGGCGCCGGGGAGCAGGGGCTGGGAGCCAGGGAGGCCCACAGGAGGCTGTGGGCGGCAGCGCTGAGTCGGGGCACCCCGCCCCCAGCCCAGCTCCTGTCCCCGCCCCTCATCCCTTCTCACCTGACCCGGCATCCTCAGGGTGGGCCGGGGACCCCCTGGGAACCGCGGGGACATGAAAGGCTGGAAGAGGGGGGTGGGCATCAGTGCCTCCGCACACCCGTCCACCCCCCAAAGCGACCCTGTCCTGCTCTGCTACACCTGGGTCGACACCTGGACCCCCCACTGGCACAAGTAGCTGGCGGGCTGGCACACCGTCCTGTCCCCACAGAGCAGGCACGGGAGGAGACAGCTGCCCATCAAGTGGGCACTAGGGTGCCCCTCAAAGACAGAGCCGAGCTGGCTGGGAGGTCCCCAGAAGCCCTGTTTCCTGTGGCTCAGCAGGGCCTGTCCAGGGGAGGGGAGGGGAGTGGCAGAGGCAGGAGAAGGCTACCTCTCCCCCACAGACCCTGGGACAGCTGTGCAGGCCCGACTCTGGCCGTAGCCCCACCCCCTGCGCACCAGACTGCCCACCCTGGTCCTACCTGGAAAAAGCCCGGCGCCATGGGGCCTGCGGCCATCGCGTCACTCGGGGTCATGGCCCCCATCACCGGGCTAGGGGTAGCAGCAGCACTCTGGAAAGGTGGGGGGCGTGTGGGGGCAGATCAGGACTTCCTGCCCAGTGCGTGTCCCACCCCCTCTGCAGGTGGCTGCTGGCGCTGTGCTGCCAGCCAGTCAGGCTGCCAGACCTTCGACCCACACGGAGACACGGGCTCTACAGCAGGGGGCCAGCTGCCCTGCCCCACGGGTGAAGCAAGCCTGGCGAGCCTCAGGCCACCCTGGGGACCCCTTGCTCCCGGACTCCCTCCCGGAGGATTGTGACCCAGCTGGTGCAGACCTAAGCCAACAGGGTGGTCAGCGGTCAGCATCCCCCAGCCCGCCCCAGCTCCACGTCCTGGCTTGTGGGCAGCTCAGCGAGCCCGACACTGTCCCTAGGCCCCCGCCTTCCCCAAAGGAATAAACCGGGGTGCTAGACATGGGGTTCCAGGCACGGACCCCGGTGGCAGGCCTGGAGGTCTCGTGCGGAAGGTAGGAAAGCCAGCTCTGCTGCTTGGTACCAAGTCCCAGATGCGCCTGCCTCGGGACCGCTGTGATGAGACTCTCATCACCGGAAGAGATGGTCACAGGCCTGCTCTGGCCCAGGTCCCAACCGCCAAGTCCCTCCTGGAGCGCCCACCCCGCACTCAGCACCACGGCCGGCCGGCTCGGGCACAGGCGCCGCCTTGGGCTGGGGAGAGGAACCGCACTGAGCCCGGGGTCTGTCCGCCAGCAGGGTGGGTGCCCGCCTTTCCGCACACAGCAAGCATCCCGCCGTTTCCTAGTCGGGAGGCCGGGCCAAGAGGGCAGGGAAGGCTGGGCTCTAGCTGGGCCGCGGTGACAGAGTGGGCAGCAGCCCAACCCTGCAGTCCTCCAACCCTAAGGTTAATCCCGGGCCTGGGACCCGAGCCAGTCCCCCCACGTCAATCATCCCCCAGCGGCGCCATGGCCCCGCCCTGTTGTCATGACTACGGGCCGGGCGCCTCCGCGTTTCCCGGAGACGCTGAGGTCGGCCCGAGAGCCCAAGCCAGGGAGGGACGGAGGGAGCCCCTACTCAGAGGCGGGAGGAAGGGGCCTCACCGCGCGGAAATGCGCACGGGGCGCCCCAGCGCCGGGGCCCAGCAGGACATGCCCCCAGCTCCCGAGACCTGGAGCCCCCACCCCCACCGCGGCGCCCGCGTTTCCCCTCTCCCGGACGCGCCCGCGCTACCATGGCAACGCCGGAACTGTCGCATGCGC